TATATATGGTTTCTTCCTAATAACATAACCAAAAACATTGTTTTATTTAAATTCAGTTTACACAGATGTCTAAAGATAAATAGCATTCTTATTTGAAAAATACTTATAAAAACAAGATTATGAATACATTCAAAGCATTATTCTAGTTAAAGTTAATGCATTATAGATTAAAGAGTTTAAAATTAAAATTTGTTTTAAGTAGGAAATTGAACATTTGAAATTTTGCTGTCCCATTTTGTGATGGTATGAATAAATCCAATTCAAATACATTTTAATTGTAGATTTAAATAGATGAACTTTTATAAATAGTTATTAGTGAGATACTCTAGTTAAACATTTTCTTAGTATATCATAGTGTCTTTTTGTTCTAAAGACTGAGAACACTATTTCATTGGGAAATAGTAAGAGAAACTTTATTACAGTTTCTACACTTAACAGTTTTTCCTTTGGCTCTTAATACTCTAAAATTCATGAAATTTCCATTGGTTTTATTAGTAATGTCTAGAAAACCACTTCTTTGTAAAACCACATTTTCAAACAATTGATTGTCAATAAATGAGTCATTGGGAATTAGGCAACTCTTAAGTTAATAGTGGTTGCAAAGTAGGAGATTAATACCTTAAAGATTTTCTAAATGGTTCTTTGCTGTCCTGGAAGACTTATTTATGTCTAATGGCACTTAATTTGTTTATGGGGAATCATATTAATAATTTATTCCTAAGAAAGTTACAGTATTTAGGAAAAATTACAAAAGTACCTAATAATTCAAATTTGAATTTTCAGGAAATCTTAGTTTTCTATTGAAGTAATTGGGTTTGTCTAGGTGTATATGTGTTTTGCTACTGTAAGCTTACTTTAGATGCTTCTTTGGAAGATATGTCTTATATGGGTATGTCTTATCTAATATTGTTGATTAATCATTACCTCATTAGCCATTTTGTGAATTACTGAGGCCCTTTTAGTTCTCTTTCCGTTTTCATGTTTTTGCTTATTTTCACAATTCTACCAAAAATCTAAAAAGGACCAAAGGCAATGTAAATAGAAGCCAAAATTTCTACTCTGTTACTACTACCAGTTGCTCAACTTAAATCTGTTTAATATCTATTTAGTAATTGAAATGATATTTTTTGAATCTCTTGTTAATTTTTTACTTTCACACAGCTGAATGGCTATATTAAAACTAGTTCACTGATGAGAAAAATATAACCACTAAGGTATGGGAATGAAGAAATGTGTGTTTTTTTTTTTTTTTTTTTTTTTTTTTTTTTAAGAAAAAGTGTCATTTAAAGTGAACTGTCTGAGGGAGATAGGTAGGATCCAGAGGTTTGGAGCTGTCTACTTCAAGACCAGGTCAGTAATATGATACCACTCGCACAAAAAAGTTGTTTCGCTTGCATGGTGTGAGTTGGTAGTCTTGGTCCATTTAATTATTGATAAGAATACATGATAAAATTAGTTTTATGTTGATTATCTTTTGCAGAAGGACAGAGGATTCCATTGGTAGAGAACTACTAACCTGTCCCCTCACCCCCAGGGTGTGAGCAGTGAAAAGGATTAAGGCCCACTGTAGGGAAGCTTGCACTAAAGCCTGCACTGCCCTTTCCCCTGTTCTTTCAGCTAAATAGATTTTTAGTTCCCATGACTATCAATCTGGTGCTTTTCACAAGCACTAAATTCTCTTAAGAAAATTAAAGATGACTTGTTTTTTTTTAGAAAGTAGCCTGGAATACTGAAAGATGGTGTTTTTTGGTACTGTGTTTCATGCTGACAGATCCCATACATATTATTTTTTTCTGACGTGTATTAATTTGCTTCAGCTTGTTTTGAATTTGGAATTGAAATAAAACATTTAAAAACCAAGGACGGGTTGTTATATTATTAGGTTTGCTTGTCCAGTTAGCAAGTATAGAGCTTGGCAGTGTTGAATCTTACATTTCATTAGAAATAGCTACTTGACAGCCTTGTGGACATAAACTCTAACTTTTCTCTAGATGACTACAGTTATAGTGTGCTTTCTTTTCAGGCTTAAAGCTTTTAAGTAGCTTTTATAAATGCTGAAGTGTCATTTTTTTTTTTTTTTTTTTTTTAGTATCTGCCAAATTGGTATTGTATTTAATCTTGAAAATATATTTTGATTTTCTTAACTAAAAATAATTGCAGAGTATTAAACATTCTCAGTAGTTAAATCTTTTTTTTTTTTTCCATTTAATTTGAGCTTTTGTTGTTACTAACAAATAATTTGTGGCACAGTTTCTTTTCTTTTTTTTTTTAAATGACTGCTAGAATCTATATACTTGTCACCTTAGTGTGCTAGAAATGTTCCACTCAAATCAAGGGTTCCTTTCTGGTTTTGTATGTTCTCACCTGCTCCTCACTGTAAATCATTGAGATGTCAAGTGCAATGATTAATTAAGCTGCACGTGCAAGTGCTTTTTTTTTCACCTGTCAAGCAGGAAAGAAGTCTTATAGATAGCAAGATTAGATGGTGCTAATTCGCAGCTTTTACTTCAGACTGTGAAGTGTGTAGAAATATTTTATATTTATATGCTTATTCAGATGTGGCATATCAGAGCTTGTTTGTTTTAGAATTCTTAAATATTGTAAGATACAATTATTATACCAAACCCTATCATTAAACTCCTAATTATAGGCAAAGAAGAAATTCAGAATTCCTACATAAATATTTTGGAAGTTCAGATTTATACTTTGTAATTATCTTTTATTCAAAAGCTAGTAGTTGATTTAAGTTAAATATTTTTATTTTTAAGTTTTAAAATTGTATATGTATGTGTGTGCCTATATATCATAACGAGATCTATTCTTATAGTATGGGTTTAAATTTCTGATGAAATGATGATGGTAACTACATTTTCTTCTTTAAGTAATAAATATTTACAGAATGTAGTGTTAAGCTTTTGAGTAGTATTTTATACATTAATATAAAACAATGGACTTGGAAATCTTGTTCCACTCTAGTTCTTTCATCATCCGCCACCCCCAAAATCATCAGCAAAAGTAAAACCTCAAATTGTGTAGTAATCTTAATCTATTATTAAAAGGCCCTAGAAAGAAAGATTACAAGGTAGATTCAGGTTTTGAATTGGTTTTGCCATTGGTTTAGCAGCGGGTGGGCAGGCAGATGCCTGCTCAGAGTAGAACCTATTGCCATTTTTCACCATTGATAGAGTAGCCTTTCAGAGTCAATGAGCTCTGTCAATGTGAGCTTGTCAAGGCTACAACTTCATAGACCTGAGAGGCGGTTTGAGAGGTCAGCCCTTTTCAGGTTCGCTGTGATGCAAATGAACTTTAATGCTTAAACAACTATTGGAATTTTTATGTCTGCTCCTTGTTCTTTTTTCTTCACAAAGTCATTGACGAGACATTCAGTGCTTTTTAAATTGGAAGTTGCATTGTGCTAAAGACCTAGTACAGATTTACGGAGGGCTGAAAGCAGTTAGATCATGTTCTTTTCATGGTGCGATTAGAATCAAATCGATTTCCCTACAGCCTTCAGCATTCAGATGGCAATTTTAACAAAGCTTGGGGGCTAGACAAGGGACAAAACGACCGAACTGAATGTTAATTACACTCTGCAGCCTTATTTTCTTTTGATTTGGGGCTGACTGGCAACTAAATTAACAAAAAGTGTGACCATAACTGCTGCCCTATTTTCATTTAAAAGGAGAGCTGCCTCTAAAAGGCTATCTTTACAAAGAAACAAGTGAGGTCTGCTGATCATTGTTAACAAGGGCACATTTTTTTTTCTTTAAAATTCTTGCCAAAAAGACTCTTCAAAGAAAGTAATGTAATAAATTAGTCATTGGCATATTATTACCTAGAGAAGTAGTTGATTTTCTGATTTTTATGACATAAGCTTGGAAAATGTAAGGCAGTAGCCGTAATTCATTGGTAGTTATGAATTATAATTGGCACCTTATGTGACTTTGGTGTGTCTTTAGCATGTTTAATATGCTAAAAGGTAACGTAACTAGATTACAGTGGATACTTTAAATAAATACTAAAATTTTATTCTGTAACATTAAACTGTTCAAACCCAGCTTCATCCTAACAGTTTTTCACCTAGCTAGTCCTTGCTTAACACATAAATTTTCATATTTGATCACTAATACTTACTTATAATTATACTACATTAATAGTGGTAAGATGTTTTTTTCTTTCCCTTGCAAGAAAGGTGCAGCTGAACCAAGTTGCAATTGATCCTGGTGGCTACACTGTCATTTTTGCACGTGCAGCTGTGTCAGTCTCATCCTAACACCTGGCACCATGAATTACCGTCTTTTATTCATACTCCCAAGCCAGAAACATTTTTTGCAGGATAGCATATCTTGCAACAGTCAAGTGAAGTAAATTCTCAGTTGATTTCCTGAAACAATAATATTAAATTAGAGTTTGGTTTTACTATGAGATGACACTTTTATGTTGGTTTAAATAAAATTTTTGCCTTCTATCTGTAGAATAATCAGTAAGCTGGCTTTTAAATATGGACATTATTTTAAGCATGATGTGAAAGTTAGTTTGATTTTTTTAACTCATTGATTTTTAAATATTAACCTCCAATTTTTTTGTTTTGGAACTTACTGAAAGGCCCTTTGCATTTTGTTAACTAATATTTACTTTTGTTTTAAAATATGTATTAAGGAACTTTTGTTACCATTTAAGTATTGGAAACATATTTTTGAAACAAGTGGGGATTTAAATTGATTTGGCAGTTGATATTAGCTTTTTAAACCTTGATAGTTTTAAATCAGAGGCTAGTAAAAAAGATTCATATGATAAAAATAAAGCCATATCTTTTTTAAGAAAGAATACTCTTCGTGTTTAGGTTACCATTTAGTGCTTAGAACATTGATAGTGACGCACACCACACTATGCTCAGTCACTGCCTTATACCTCTTCCCTTTTCCCAGAAAAAAAGCAGCTGCAAAACAAAGTTTTCTAAAACCAGTCAAGAGTAAACTTTTTTCTCATTTGTCTTCCAGACACGAAGATCGATTGAGAAGTTATTAGAATGGGAAAACAATAGGTTATACCACAAGGTGAGTACCACAGGGAGCAGCTTCGTACTGTTGGGGTCTGAATTGCACAGTATGGAAACAGATGCTTTTGTTGAACTAAAAATATGAAAGGTGGACAAATGGGTTAGTCTGTGTGCTGCAATAAAATAGAGCTCATTTTTCTTCTTTTACTCTCCTTCTTGTCTAGCTGTGCTTGCATTGGAGACTGAGCAAAAGGAAATGTGAAACGAATAACATGATGGAATATGTAAGTTAAAGGGCTGTTTTGTGAGTTTCTCTATTAAATGATCATTTATTTTGCTTCTGATCTTATTCTTTCCATGATTATTAATCAGCAAAGGTGTCAGGAGCTTAATCTCTTGAGTGCAAGGATTTTCTACGGTTCACAGATGCATGGTTTCATGTGCAAGACTGATTTATAAAGTTATGAATGACTTGAAAACAAGGCTTCACTGTGTTCTGAAAAATAATAAATTAATTGCCAAGATAAAATAGCCTGAACATGTGTTGATGGAGTGTGAAATTTTAGATGCTGTATGAAGAATAACCACAACTTTGGTTACGCAGCAAGTCAGATATGGCTTTTTTATATAATGCTAATCAAGTTTCCCAGTATGGAAGAAAACCTTTCAGCCAAGCCATTGGAGCTTAAGAAACCTTTAGCCTTTATAGATTTTAACTGCCCATACCTCAGTGGCCTTTAAAGAAGTGTTATTAGAATATTGCTTTGTAAAAATTATCTTAAAAATAAGCAGGAGATGAGACGTTTGATCATCTTGTGTTTACTTGTTAAAAAATATCTAATTTGGCATATATATACAATGAATTTTAGAATTTATTCAGCATGGGATTTAATTACTGATCTCGTGATTTACTTGAACAGTTTTTCTCCTTTTGAAATTTTCAGAATTCTCTAGAAAATTAAGAATTTTAATTCTCTTTTGAGCTGGGTGTTTTATTTTCAATATGGGCAGGTTGTTACTTTAAAAGAAAAAGATCTAAGGAAAAGTTAATTGTTGAAAATAAAACTCAGAGCCTTTGTGAAGTACCTGTTACAACATTTCTGAGGAATTTTGTCTATTCTTTAAAACAATATAGACATCATAGATGTGTGTGTGTGTGTGTGTGTGTGTGTGTGTTTGTGTGTAAAATGTTGATTAAAACAGTGTTTAAATAGTTGTAAATTATCATAAAATCATTTTTCTCTGTTAGCATTTTCCTGTTCTTTCATTATCACACAGTCAAATGCCATTTCTATCCTTGAACATAAATAATATTTATAAAATGTCTTAGACTAGCTTTATTCAATGAACCAAATAATGTAGATTTTTGTCTTTACTATATCAAACATGTTAATTTATGATGATAAGAAAAACACTTGATACTTCTTTAGAATCATAGCACATTTGAGTAATTTATTTTGAGTTGAGAATACTAGTATTTTTCACCTTAAAAAGAAGGTTTGTGTATATATTTTGGGAAGAGAAATGGATAGTTCGGAGATGTAAAGGATTTAGTGAAAAAAATATTTACTGCATGTATAAATACAAACACTAAGCTTAAAACTGAGGTATTAATTTTTTCATGCATTTCTAAGTTTACTTTGGAAAGGAAAACATAAAAGTTATCCCAATGCTATGATTTCCAGATCGAGCCATGTAACTATAATTTATTCATAAAATTAGTAACCTTCCAAAATATTCTGAACTAAATGCTTTGTTTGTAAAATAGTTTCCTTGAATTTTTAGATAATTAAGCACTTCTACTAAAGCCATTATATTACTTTCACGTCATCATAGGAGATATCCAGAAGAGTAGTAAAGATAAAATAAATATTTAAATTGCTAGGAAAAAGCTGGATGTAGTGGGCATCCCAGTAGTCCCAGCTACTGGGGAGGCTGAGGCAGCAGGATCACTTGCGCTCAGGAGTACAAAGACAATCTGGGTAATATAGCAATACCCCCCACTTAAAAAAAAAAATCCTGGGAAAAAAATGTGTGTTTCACTAGATTTTCTCAGAGTATATATATTTGTGACAGTTGAAAGTAAGAATAACCTAGCTTAAAATATTCATGAAAATGAATTTTAAAAGTTAAACTAGCAAATAAAATTCATTTTATCTAATGAATTTGGGCCTTTTTAACCGTGTGTTCCTCTTTTCCCTCAACTTTTCTGTTATCTACAGAAATTTCATTTGTTAAAAGAAAATAATTATCCTTGATTATAATTTGAACATTGGAGATACCAAAAAAAAAAAAAAAAAGAAAAACACTTGGTGCTAACTTTTCTTTGTTTACGTATGGTGAAGACGGATGATTTAGAAGAAATGAAACAAGTGGCAGTCTCTATGTGTGGCTTCTGAAGGAAAAATTTGTAGGATATATTATTTTTAAACTAACAATAATTTAAATGTAGGCAAAGATAGCCTTTATATTATGTTATATATTAATAGTATATACTGTAAAGTGTGGGGATGCCCATACCTGGGGACTAAAATTATAAAGACCACTTGATTGAGGACATATTTGAAATACAAAAGAATTTACTTAATGTTGACTCTTCAGTAGTTTTAACATTTAATTGTCAAATTTTAGAGCTGCAAATAATCTTGTCATCTAGTCCAATGCCTTTATTTTATAGATAAGAAACCTGAGAAACAAGGAAATCTAGCTCAAATGAAGAAGCTAATTGGGAGAAAGTATTTTAACAGGGAGCTAGTGAATATTTTGCAGGCAAATCACAGGTCAGGAGAGTGGCAGATGTGACAGCTAAGGCTTAGTATAGGATAACTAGAATAGGACAGGAATATTTTTGACCTAGGTATAGAAGTGTACCTTCTTTATTGAGGCAGATCAAAAGCCAGGAGAACTGAAGAGTGAAAAAAGATTTCTGGCCCAAACAGCTAATTTGTAGAAGTATTCAAATCTAGAGATCATATAAAGACATAGTTTCTGAAAAAGAATGATGAGTTTACTAGACTTAGAAACTTTTAAAATCAAATAATTTTTAAATCACCATCTATTCCATACAAATTTGGGGCAAAGAATGAGTTGATTGTAATTTAAGACGATTCAAATTTGGAAAAATTAGCTCTGGTCACCTTGTGTAATTCTGTGTTACCATGTTTTGTTTTTGTTGGTTTTCCTTTAGTTTCTTATTAAAAGGTCTTTTGGAACAGATTTTAGTCTTTAATTTTGCTAACCTAAGAAGGAATGGACTTTAAAAAAAAAAATTAAGAGATAAGGGACATTTTATTTAAAGGTACTGCATATTCTGGTAGCATAAAATGAGAGCAACTCTAGAACTTAGAGAAGACTCGTGTAATTGGGTTGATTAAAAAGGAGGAAGCCTGAAGAAAAATGTTGGGTCAGCTGCAGTCACATAGGGCTGTAAAAAGGGTAAGGCTTTGGAGTCTTTCATTCAAACACTGATTCCACAGTCATGTTACAGCTTGTCTGGATCATCAGTTTTCCTCATCTGTAAAATAGGGATGATAATACTCGCCCCATAGAAAACTTGTTGGGTTGAAAGAGACCCAATATGGTATGGAACACCTGGTATACAGTTAGTTCTAAATAAATGCTAGCCCCTTTTCTCATGAGTGCAAGGGAGCATGCATGTATGCATGTTTGCTTCTCCAGTGTGCCAGGGGCACCATTTATATCACCCTTCTCAGACTTTGGTGATTTTACTTGATTATTTGTCTTCCTTTTCATACAGTATTTTGTATAATTGGTAAAGGTCAGAAATAAAAATTATCAGTGATGGAACTCTGCATTACCAGATAAAGATCTGTTTTAGTAATCCAAAGTTGCAGTTTTAAAATGTGAATGGATTTTGAAAAAAATTGTAAGTGATAGAATATAACCAAAATTTAACGAAAAAAATTTGTTTAAATCTTTTAAAAACTTTTTTTTCTCCTTTTACAGGTCATCCTCATAGAATTTTTACCAAAGACACCGATTTTTCGACCAGATTAGCATTTACTTTATTTATAGAGACTTTCCAAGTATGTTGTCTTTCCAATGGTGCCTTGCTTGGTGCTCTCCTGGTGGTGACATAACATTGGTTCTACAGAATCGTGTGGTGTTGTTTTTTTTTTTTTTTAAATAACCGCATGTTCTAAGTGTGCATTTTTGTCGATCTTTGCAACAGTTATTTCATACAGATGTTTAATACTTAAGTTATTGTGCTCTTTTCTGTTATGTATTCTGATTTTCAAGGATTACTTTTTTGTATTATCAAAAAAATACATTTGGACTTAGCATAAAAAGTGGCCAGCCTTTTTTATTTTATCACCAAGGTACACACAGTCCTTTATTTATAAATTCCTTAACAGAGAAAAACACCTTTTTAAGGCTCAACTTATCTATTCTAGCAAGCACACTTTTTGTATTATTTTTTCTTTTAAAATTTGATAAGTCATTATTTTAAAATAGTAACTTTTCTTTAATACCCTTTTGGAACCTGACATACCCTTTCTCATACAATTCCTAATGCTCTGTTTATGGCAGATAATCTGTAACAAAGTGCAAAGACCTATTAAAAAGTTTTAAAAGTATTTCTGTCTTCAAAGGTAGTAAGACAGGATTAAATTTTTACTAGAATAGACAAATCAGTGAATGGTATGCATGTATCTAGTGGTTACTAGAACTCAGGATCACAAAATATAGTAGCATCACAATCTGTGTATATTTTTGATCAAGATGATAATGGCCTTACTTGGGTTATTTTTATTGTTTATCAAATCTTATATACAAAAGAGTGGAAGTATTCCTTTACAGAATTTCTAAGGAAAATATTTCTTCTAACCTATCAATTATAGAATGGATATATGTTTCTGAAAAGTTTTTGAAAGAAAGCAAAAGTCCTAGAACTAAAAGTAAGCTGGTATTTAATTTCCCAGTGATATTTAGAACAGATTGTTAATAAGAAATGGAGGGTACATTTAATACTGTTTTTATCCACCAGTTCACTTTCAGTACAGTTATGTATACTTGTTTTGATTGACAGTGTGACATAGAAGTTAAATCAGATTAGCTTGTTTCTTTTAAATATACATATACACACATATATTTTTTTCTCCTTTTCATTGTGCATATCTCTGCATTTTTAAACTTCTAGATTTGTGAATGACCTATGTGTAAATTTTTTTTATAAACCTGAAATTATACAAATTATAATGTATGTCAAGAACTTGTTCCATATAACTGTGGTATCGAGCAATAATGTCAATAACTTTTGCAATTATATAAACTATGCTTAATAATTTGTATTGAGAATTGGTACCACTATATAATACTTTTTTCCCTTGTATTAAATATTTTAAATAACAGTTTCATTAATTTATATACCTGTATTTTTAAAAGTATTTCTTTGTACTTCTTCAAAGTACTGTAATCCTATATAAATTTGAATAGTTAAATGCCAGTATCTCATGTCCTATATCCTGTATTGGATATTAGGAGCTATCTTAAAAACTAGGATTTAATATTTTTTTTTTTGTTTGAGAATTATTTGTTTTCCTTGCCCCCCAAATAACAGAAACTTGAATTTGTAGAACAGTTTTCCTGAAGAGCTCAAAGTGCAAAGAATTCAAATACTTATTTTATTTAACTTGTGTCTAGGGTGTGTTCTACCACCTTAAAGTAGTGCAATTAAAAATAATGCCATCTAGAAACTCCAGTAATCCTCTGTGGTTTCAGTGTGAAAATATTGTGTCTTCATACAATGCTAAATCTGCCTCAGGATTCAGAAAGAGCAGAAAAAAATAATGACTGTGTAGACTATGCAACACAGTGTTCCCTGTATAAAGTTGTGTAAATCCATAGAGCACCATATTGACCAGCTTTATAAGAAGAACTTAACTATTTACCTAATTTATTCTCCTATTACTAGTCTGTGGATTATAATTTTAAAATTTCTATATTCCCTTAGGAATATTTTAACTGTAAGATAATTTTCATAGTTGATGATATTAAGTATAGAATTTTTAAAAGCTTTTCTGATTTTATTCAGAGATGTGCCATTTGCTTAAAGATTCCGTAGAAACTTGCACTTCCAATGTACATATATAGAAAAGAACTGTGAATACTTAATATGTGGTGTTATCATAAGCCAATTATACCTTGGGCAGTTAGATTTTCATGGTTGGATTTTAATTAGTAGCCTATAGTATAACTCTATACTTTCTTGAATCATGAATTTAAGTGCCCACGTTACTGGATATTAGAGATGCCCATGTTAAGTAAACATCTGTCTAAGGAAATATTTGAAGTGATGATTGTTCTTCAGCTCATGTTTCTGACTTAAAGTTTGTGGGACATAAACCATAGAGCTAAACTGGCTAGGAAAAAATATTATTGGCAGAAAATTTAGTATATGGATTTTACATAGTCTAAGTAAATAACTTATGGTCTTTTAAAAATACATTACTGGTATTTTACAATCAGTCATCATTTCTGTTTAGAAACATTCTTTTCTCAAAAAATGTACGTTGCCAACCCTGTTATACTTTAATATATAACTTTGGCCATCTGGGTTAAAATGATACTCCAAAGCCTAATGACTATAGTAACACTGATGTGATACAGTTAGCTTCTAAGGTAGATATTGGCCCTCAGTTACATTAAGATCACCTTACCTATCTAAAATGATCATCAGATGCTGTATTAAGACTCTTTAATGACTAGGTTTCATTTATTTAAAACATAAACATGTAATTTTGCCCTAAAATTAACAAAATAAATTCAACAAAGCCTTGAATACTAGTAAACGATTTTCTTCTTATTAGTAAAACTAGTTTTGTAATTGAATAAGTTTAAGTCAGGAAGAATCCAGCTTTCCCCAACGTTGTGTCTTCAGTGTTATTTTTTCAGTGTTAGAGAGCTTCTGGTTGTTTTTTTAGATTAATAGATTCAGGCCAACCGTAAAAATCTTTAACAATATTCTATCTCTATCTTTGGATGTAAAAGGACATTAAATAGTAATACATACAGTTGTATGAGTTCAGACTATTAGTTTTGTAGAACACTGTGTACATAGTCAGACTATTTCAACTTTTGTGGTATTTAGCTTCACCATTATAACCTTTAACTGTATGCATGATGTTTCACTGTAAATATTTGCTTTGACTTGCTGTTGATCAATCGTACTAAATCAAAAGTACAGTGTGTTAAAACTGCCTTGGACTGAACTCTAGCATCTAGTCCTGTACCCCCTTTCCTTTTATCCTTTTGGACACCATGGATCCTTTTGCTGTCCTCTTGATGTCCAGAATCTTCACCTAGGCCTGAACATAGTTCAGAATTGCATTTTTATCTTTCTTTCTCAGAGTTCCCAGTAAGAATATTAATTATTTTTGTTGTTGTTGTTTCAAGACAGAGTCTTGCTGTGTCGTCCAGACTGGAGTGCAGTGGCGCCATCTGGGCTCAGTGCAACCTCCACCTCCTGGGTTCAAGCCATTCCCCTGCCTCAGCCTCCTGAGCAACTGAGGTTACAGGTGCTCGCCACCATGCCCGGCTATTTTTTTGTATTTTAGTAGAGACAGGGTTTCACTGTGTTGCCCAGGCTGGTCTTGAACTCCTGAGCTCAGGCAATCTTTCTGCGTCGGCCTCCCAAAGAACAGTAATTCTTTTGCATTCTTAGGTAGGTGTTTAGAAGACCAATTAAAGTAAGTCGTATTAAGTGATGAATGGCTGATACCCTCAGTTCTGCTAAGGTGGCACTTGCATTTTAAAAAGAGATTTCTTAATTGATGCTGTGGTGCAATTGATGTTTCTTTCTGAAAAGACCCTAATGGTCCACATTTTCTAGGGAAGAAGCAATAGGATGGTTGGACATGGGATTGGTTCTCAAACCTCTGTTTTTGAAAGGCGGCGATTAATAATTAGTTTTAGGAGGAAAGAATCGGCTAATTCTAAACCAAACTACAAATTATCCCATAGCTGTTTGCGTTTAAATATTTAACCCTTCCTTAAATAAAGTAACTCTTAATTTTTCCTTGGTATCATAGCCAACTTTATGTTGTTTTTAGGAACATTTATTAAGTTGAGATTTGAAGAATGTCTTTAAATCTTGAGTTATCTTATTCTGCACTTTTACAGAGATCTTTCGATAATAATTAAGAGAAGCCTAAATATTGTTGATGTTAATCATAATTCTATTTGTTTCTGTAATATGGAGCATTATCTTCCCCACCCCAATGGCAGATTGAACCAACAGAGGTTGTTTATAATCTTAATAGGTAATACTGAAAACAGAAATTCAGAATGCTGAGCCTGATTTTGAATTCATTTCTGATATGCTACAAGATCATCCAACTACTTGGCCTTTTCGCTTTCATTTTCATTTCCCAAGCAGGAAGATACTATGACTACCTCATGGTGTTATCTTGTGAAACAATATTTTTTAATAGTTGATGTTCCTGTTATTAAGTCCTATATAAAAGCAAATAGATGTTTATTAATGATTGAACAGGTTTTTCGACTTATTTTACAAAATCAGCACAAACTTGAATTATTGTCAGGTTTTGCATTTAAAATGAAAGAGATTGGGTATTCCATATATGTACTTATAATGCTTTGCATATTTAAAAATCAAGGAAACATTAAATGTAGTACTTGAAAAAAAGTTTCTTTCTAATAAGATATTTAAAAATATAGTTATGTTTGAGATACTTAAACAAAATCATGCTTTTTTTTTTTATACTCCCTCTATTTCATAAACATGGTGCTTTGATACTGAGTTGATTGCTTTTTTCTCTTTATGAAAACCAGTATATTGCTTTCCTACCTCTTTATCTTAGAAAGTATTTTGATGAACTGACCATACCAGGCATTCTTAATTTTGGCAAGCAAGCTATATATTGCTTTGTTGTTTTTAATTTAAAGAAACAATGTCAAGCAGCCTTCAAGAGACATAAGTGATGGATCAGCGTTTTGTCTACTTTATTGAGACATAATGTACCCTCAGACTGCACAGTTTCTATCCTATTATGTCTTCTACTGATTCTTAATTTAGTATAACTGGTTCCAGTTCTTTTTCTTTATATATTTAAATTCTATATAGATTTTAAATGTTCTAGAAGGAAAGAGTATTCCCTCAAGAAACGTTTTGCTCTAAATTAAAGAACACCTCTTCCTTTAGTAGGAGCTTATTTAATTAGGTAGTTAAAACAATCTCATTACATTGCCACCAAGTTTTTATAAACACGAGCTTGTTTTAACTCAAGTATCAAAGCCCTTTTAAATTCTCTATTTGTTTTTATATTTGTTGACGTTATGCCCTCTGAGAAGAGTTAAGTCTTGTGAAACTTAGCAGTTGTGGCAGTAGAAGCAAGGTAAACATGATTGGAAGGCAAGATGCTGAAATCTACTGGCTGAGAGAAATAACTGCATTATTATCCTACTCTTTGGTTTACAAGGGTGAACGTTATGAGGTGGTCAGGAATTACACACAGCTTTATACATTCTTTATATATTACAATGGAAATTCTTTATACATTCTTTATACATTCTTTTTTTTATACATTCTTTATATATTACAATGGAAATTATTTTTAAAGAAAAAAATATTCTAGATAGAATTTTTATCATCATGTCCTTTGAGAATGGGAGGCTACCTTGAAACAAATACACTTAGATTTATCTTTTTATAATGTAAATGTGAACATTAAAAAAAAAAAAAAAAAAACACCTCAATAAAGGATTCCAGGAATTTGTTCCTGTATCCTTAAATGAACGTGGAATAGTTTTCATATAAGATAATCAGAAATTTCTGATGGGTGAGCAGTTATGCAGAACTAAGAGCAGGGTCTCTAAAAATATGCTTTTAGATAATTATACAGCATTCAGGTAAGTCTAGTAACATTAGAAAATGAAGATAACTGGTAAATATATAAAGTTGAATGTCAAAGATATGTATTATGTTTTTGCTTTCATTATTAAGATATTAATGCCACTGCTAAATAAATAACATGGTCTGTGTTTCTTTTTTGTTTTATTTCCTTCCTTCCTTCTTTCCTTCCTTTCTTTCTCTTTCTCTCCTCTCCTTCTCTCTCTCTCTCTTTCTCTCTTTCTTCTTTTCTTTTCTTTTCTTTTTTCTTTTCTTTTCTTTCTTTTTCTTTCTTTTTTTTTTTGAGACAGAGTTTCACTGTGTTGCCCAGGCTGGAGTGCACCGACAGGATTTCAGTTCACTGTAGCCTCTGCTTCCTGGGTTCACATGATTCTCTTGCCCTGGCCTCCCAAGTGTCTGGAATTACAGGCGTGAGCCACCACGCCCAGCTAATTTTTGTATTTTTAATAGAGACATTTTTTTCATGTTCTATAATTTTTTATTTTAATAATGACGTTTTGTCATGTTGACCAGGCTGGTCTTGAACTCCTGACATCAGATCATCCGCCTGCCTCAACCTCCCAAAGTGCTGGGATTACAGGTGTGAGCCACCACACCTGGCCTGGTTTTCTTAAGATGAGATTGTTTTGTTAGATAAAAATTTGTTGGCTTTCACAATTGTGAAGAAATACATAATGGGTTATATTTAAGGTGGTTTAATTTTTGGTCCTGTGTTGGTTGTAGTATATTTAGTCTTGTAAAATTAAGTCTACATTGATTGTGTTGATTGTTCTTTTCTAGTAAACAAATGGAGACGAATTTGAGCTAGGAATTTTTTTTTTTTAATTTTTGGCTTGCTTTGGCTAGTTAAGTTTTGTTGCTTTTAAGTGACTCTACTACAGCATGTCATTTCAACATATAATTCCATATTCAAAACTAAAATATGGGCTAATTCACAGCATTTTGTCTTTAAATAAATATATTAAATAAGATCTTAAGCCAGCGTAGGTGGAATTGGAAAAGGGAATCTGGAACCTAGATCAAAACTTTAAAGGAAATTGGCCAAACTTATAATGTCTGTTAAAATGACCATATGAGTGAATGATTATACACACACACCTGCTTCTGCTTCTGTAGATATGACCCGTACAATGTGGGGAAAAATTAATTTAATTGACATCATTATGAATATGAGTTTAGAAACTGTGTACAATGAATTTAAAGAAAGTTTTATATGTTTATGAACTTACACCATAGTTGGAAAAAAGAATAGGGGGAAAATGCAGCTTATATACCTTTTTTCCTGACAATGGTGTTTTAGTTATCCCTTAAGTTTAAAATTAATGCAGCTTGTAAATAGGATTCTCAGTTATCCTGTTTCGGTTTTTAAGCTTCAGTAGGAGGCGGAAATAATTCCAATTGCCACTTCTGTAAATACACCTTTAGCACTATTTAAAATAGCTTATCTGTGACATTGTATCAAGTGATTCTTTGTAACACAAATTTTTTATTTTACTCAATTGTCCCAGATTCCAGTATAAACCTTTACTAATGTAGTTCCACATGTGGAAATACACACACACACACACACACACAGAATCAAAGATGAAGTAACGGTGATTCAGTACACTAAGACATCTCTTTGCAATAGACCGTAAAGATAACTCCATCACCTGGATTGTTTTAGTTAAAATATAAAATGACAGTTGAGTCTACATGAAACATTTAAAAACTAAAGGGAAATTTTGTTTGTGAATTATTTTTGTTTCCTAGAATCATCATATTATAGTTTTTTAAAAATTGATAACTTTTCTGAATTTTTATTCTTTTATTCACTTTATTCATCCTGACCAGAAAAATGTGAGCATTTTCAGAAGTTAATTGTTTCTTTTTTCACAAATAGAGATCTATGCAAAAATGCCATTACTGCT